GGGGTTAGGTTCCACGGAAATTTTTTATTACCAGCAAAAAAAAAAAAATACACACACACACACACACACACACAAATTTTAAACAAACAATTTAATACTGTACACAGAAATGATGATTGTGAAGCTTGGTTGAGGTGGTGAAGTCAGACGGTGGAAGAGGTTGCGATATTTCCCAGGGAATGCCTTACTGCTAAATGATGAACTAGCGCTCGGCTGAGCCCTCAAGGGTTAACACATTGTTGTTAATGTAGCCTCACACTCTACAAGGCAGCACAAATGGAGGGAGGAGAGACAGCATGGAAGAGAGAGACAGACACACCCTGTATGAGAGAGAGAGAGAGAGTTGTGCTTTTCCCCTTTAAGTACGCTGACCTCACTAAGTACATTGTCTTTAAAAAAAAAATCAGGAAGTCGAGACAGCAGCTATGGCCAGCAAGCTCTCTCCATCCTGAGCCCTGTCCTGTCCCCACCCTGCTCTATATGGAGAAGGGGTAAGCAGGGAGCAGGAGTAGGGGGACACCCTGACATTAGTGTGTCCCCCCCCCCCCCCGCACAGCAAGCAGGAGGCTCCCGGGAGCAGCTCCAAGGCAGGGGGCAGGAGCAGCACATGGCAGTGGGGGCAGGGACAGCTGAACTAGTGGCAATTGGTAGCCTGCTGGGCAGCTGCTGCACAGGGAACTATGGGGAGCGGGGAGCTGCCGGTCCACCCTGGTTCCAAGCCCCCACCAGCTCGCTCCAATGGGCTGCTTTTCCTGCAAGCAGTAGACAAAGCAGGCGGCTGCCAAACAATGTTCTAAGGGAGCATTGCGCAACTTTAAACTAGCCTGTTCCCTAATTGATCAGCAACATAACGTTAACTAGGATGACTAAGAGAGGAGTTACTGTAGTTGACATAAAAAAAAAAATACTTGAACTGAAGAAAGGAAACAAAAAAATTGGCAACATTAATCTTGCATTGTAGTTTATATGTTGTGGGCCAGTTACCATTTGTACAATCTCTTCTTGCACTTTCTCTCTCTGTGCTAGTAGCAGCTCCTTTGTCCGAACCATGCTGGTTAGTTCCTTTTGTAGATGTAAATATTTTGCCTGTAAAAGAAGTTTTCATCTTAGTATCACACACACAATTTCTTTTAGTACTATATAAAAATACAAAGCATTTCCAGCTCATGAAAAAATAATTTTTAAAAAATCTGGAGCATGCAAAAATAGAGCAGCCTCGTTTTCTAGGAACATTTGTGAGTCATTAAAAACAAAACAAAACCCAAACCACCATGTGAAATTAAAATCAAACTACTGGAGCTGGTTCCCCATCAGTCGGTATTGCACATGACTTTGCTTATACTGTTATACACATTTATAGAGTTATTCTTCATCAGCCTCTCTCACTCTAGGATGGCATTTTTATTAAGTCATGTAAATTACAAGCTTTATTTTTGTGTTACTGTACAAACACTATACTATTTGGTTACAGACAAAATGACCCTTTGAATTCTATTCCAGCCTTGCAGCTTTTCAGGCCATTAGGTTCACAAGTGATTTCAATAGAAGATTAGTTGGCAAGGTATTCCATATTATTTTAATTATTTAAACCCAAATGTTACAGTGAATAGTCTGTGTGATTGTGTGCAAAAAGCCCACTATTAGCCGAGTTATGACTAGGGCAAGGGTTTTCCAGCAATTAAAATATGATGTATATTTTGGAAATTTTGGATATGCATTATATTCATACAAAAAAATATTGTTCTGTGTTGTAATACTGAGGGCTACAGCCAGCTGTGCAGGGGGAGTGGGGGAATAGATTCTGAGTACTGAGGGCTGGAGCCACGCCAGCTGTGTGCAGGGGAGGTGGGAGACAGACACTGGGTACTGAGGGCTGGAGCCAGACCAGCTGTGTGCTGGGGGAAGGGAGCAGGAGTCAGCTGTGCAGGAGAGGTGGTGGACAGATGTTGGGCACTGAAAACCTAGAGCCAGCTGTATGCTGGGAGGAGGGGGAAAAGTTGGTAGCAAGGCTCAACAGCAGCCAGCCTCTGCCCTGGGGACGTGTTAGGTGTCTCTAGGCAGAAATAAGGGGGTGAGGGGAGCACACGACCCTGTATGCCCCACCCACGTGTCAGATCTACTGCAGGCTCTGCCCTGCGCCTTGGGGATGAACCAGGTGTTTCCAGGCAGAAGTCTGGAAGGGGGTGGAGCAGTGACCCTGCATGCCCCACCTCCCTCTGATCACCGATGCTAGAAATGAAGAGTCATTTTGGAAAAAACGCAGCAATAGTAGCAATTTCCAGAAAACACGGTCCCTACTTATGACCATACTAAGTCAATAGGTTCATACTCTTACTAGAACCTCAATCCTGCAGACATTGATCAAGCAGTTTATAACCAGTTAGTTGTTTATGCTCTTTCCCAAAGTTATTCTCTCACCAGACTGACAGCCCTGGAGACCTCCATTACAGATGGAGCACCAGCAGTGCAAGCTTCCCCAATTGCCCTGCTAATTTGCTTCAGTTCTGACACATGGGGATCAGCATGGGGGATAAAAGGGTGCGCATTTAATCTTTGGCCTCTTTTCTGAGACTATTAACAAGGGTGCAAATCATACTCCTAGGAGAATTCTGTGCCAAAAACTTAAAAATTCTGTGCACAATATTTTAAAATTCTGCAAATTTTATTCGTTAAAGTAACACAATATAATCACACCAGTTTCAATTATTGCGGTAATTTATTTCAAATGCCTGTCGGCAAGTATGTCAACAATGCAGACAACAAAAATGATTCCCTCAGGAGTAGAGACTTAATGAAACCCCTATGATAACCCTGTGACGTTGCACCTCATAAGCCTTTATGGAAATATGTTTATGAATGTATATATGACATAACTGGAATATGTTTTATGCTACATATGCCATGTAATATCTATGTAAAGGTTATGATCTACTGAATCTATTCATCCTATGTGTATGCATGTGTCGTGTTCGAAGTTATGAATATCGGCTGTGTACTTGCTTGATTTCTAAGTAACCTTAGTACAGCATTTAGGTCAGCTTCTTTAGAAAGGAATTTGCAAGTTAAATGCCCAATCAAGAAGCACTTAACGGGCAATGGATCTTGAAAGGCTCCAATCCACATAAGAAGTCTACATGAGGACGTTCAAGGTAGCATGTGAACAATGCCTGTAAGAACTAAGTCATGCATGGACATGTGACTTGCCCAGGTGACTCCAAAACTCTATCTTGGAGCTGGACTTTGCATAGGAGAGAGGAGAGGGTCTCCACCCACAAGAGAAAGTCTATTTAAGCCAAGGGGAGACCCCTCCATTTTGTCTTCAGCTGGCTCAAGAGATAGCCTCTCCACTCCCAAGGATACCTGAAAGAAACTGGAACGAAGGACAGTAACTACAGGGGGTGTGAGTGATTGCTGGACCCAGACTAGAAGGAGACTAGTCTGTAAAAGGAAGCTTCCTGGAATTCCTCTGAGGGTGAGGTTTTTATCTGTATTCAGTTTTCTTACTGTATTAGACATAAATTTGCAAGTTCTATTTTATTTTGCTTGGTAATTCACTTTGTTCTGTCTGTTACTACTTGGAACCACTTAAATCCTACTTTCTGTATTTAATAAAATCACTTTTTACTTATTAACACAGAATATGTATTAATACCTGGGGGGGGGGGGGTGAAGGGGGCAAACAGCTGTGCATCTCTATCAGTGTTACAGAGGGGGAACAATTTATGAGTTTACCCTGTATAAGCTTTATACAGGGTAAAACAGATTTATTTGGGGTTTGGACCCCACTGGGACTTGAGCATCTGAGTGTTAAAGACAGGAACACTTCTTAAGCTGCTCCAATTAAGCCTACAGCTGTTAGGGGACGTGGTTCAGATCTAGGTCTGGGTTTGCAGCAGGCTAGCGGGTCTGGCTCAAACCAGGCAGGGCACTGAAGTCCCAAGCTGGGAGGTCAGGGAAAGCAAGGGCAGAAGTAGTCTTGGCCCATCACTTGGCAACCCCAAGGGGGTTTCTGATCCAACCTGTCACAAACCCAATCCAGTTGGGGGGTGCTGGAGAGGGCTGTGTGGGGCCACCGGCCCAGACACATACCCTCCTCCCTCCCAGAGCCCAGGTACAGGTTCTGCTCTGTAAACTCTGTCCCGCCAGGGGACAGGGTGTGGCCCTGGCCTTCCTCACCCTTTGCCAGAGCCAGGTCTCCCAGGCCCACAAAGATCAAGCCAGTCAGCCAGAGAGTACAGAGGCTCCATCCCTGCCGGGCCGGCCAGCAGCACTGCAGCCCCAATTCTGCAGGGAAAACATGAAATTTTGCACAAATTCTGCATTGTACAGTGGTGCAGAATTCCCCCAGGAGTAAAATTGGTACCAGGACACATTGTCTTGTGAGCTACCTGTCCACTGGCTAGAGACCAAACTTATTTCACACAAATTACAAACTGCTATTAGATGGTAACAACTTGGACTGGCTTTGAACCACCGAAAGGCCCCATATTCTAATTCAATTCTCTAATTTGATCCTCACTACTGCTTTATTTTTAAAACTTTATTCACCTCTCCCTACAAAAACAACAAGACAAACAACGCAGGGGCAGCAGATGGCACTTGAGCTACCTAAGGGAAAAATTCCCGATGACTGGGCAGGGGAGCACACCAAGAGTGGAATGCATATGTGCAATTACTCAAAGAAGAGCACAACTGTGTGGAAGCAAAGTGATACCACAGGTTTAGAATCTGGTTTCTGATTAAAAAACATGTACTATTACAAAGTGACCAATAGTTCCATGTGCCCTCTCCCTAGTTTATTTAGGAAAAAAATGACAACTAAACGGATCCTTGTGATCCTTACATTCTAAGATGGAGACTAAAATACAGACAGACAATCTTACCTTCAATTTCTGTGCTTGTTCTTGGTTTTTCATGTGCCGAAGAAACTCCATATCTTCTTTAGTGCATTGGTAGCCTTTTATTCTGTTAATCATCATTGATATATTCATCTCACTCAACCCTAGTTACGTACAGAAAAACAGTTCTCAAGGAACCAGAAGGCTCACTACTGTCAAATATCTGCATATGCCCCAAATCTCAGGTCAGATCCAGTGCCACTGTCTTGAATGGGAGTTAGTAGCATCAACTTCAGTAGGAATAAGATTTAGCTCTTAAAGTGCTCGGACAATTAGGTGAGCAAAATGTCACTTATTAGCATGGTAAAAACAGGAAGGGAGCTGTCTGCTTTGTATCCCATAATACAATTATTTCAAACAAAGCAAAGCCTTCCTTCCCAATCACTTATCAGGTGCAACAGAGGATGGCACTCGGGAAAAAAAAAGCAAAGGGAATTTTAAATGAAGATATCCTGCTAATCTATCTTTAGAATCACAATAAAAAAAAAAGTGTGTTGCCTGTCTCAGACACCTCTTTTAGAAGCTGCAAAGAACAATTATTAAAGAGCTTTAGGCCAATAAGCCACAAGGCCAGACATATTTTCAGTCTGTCATAACTTTTTGAGAGTTGAGAGAAAGTAGAACTGCAAGCTTAACATTTAGCTGTACTCTAGTGTGATAAATGGAATGAAGGATAGGTAGAAAGACTGCAAACAGAAAAATGCTTCTAATAACAAAATCTATTAAGCTGTGGACTTGTCTCCTTGGGAAGTGTTTGAAGACCTGTAAATCATTTTAAACAAGGCTGGACAGCAATAGAAATATATTGTGAAGAAACTGGCGAGAAGGGGTGAGGAAAGAAGAGAAGACAGAATTCCTGTTATCTGTTCTTCAACTTCTATTATACAAAGGGTTACAAGGATGTGAAAACACATGCATTTGCGTATATCCCCATTAGATTTGGTGGGACACTGCACAGTTGGTGCCCATCATTATTGAAGAAGCACTAGGCACAGCTACTATGCAGGAAAGGCATCTCTTCTGTGGAAGGGTGGTTCATTACATTAAAAAAAGCTAAAATCAGAAAATGGGGACTGCATGTTAGCAGTTTTCTCACAGAGATTCAGATATAAGACCTCTGAATGGCAAAGGAGAATGAAGGTCATTTATCTAGTCCAGCGCTTGGTCAATTGATTTAATTTAGCTTAGTTTTGTTTTGAGTTTGTTCTGGTTCTAGTTGTTTTGTATTAATATTTGTTCTAACAAGGTCTGCTGATGACAGTAACAAGAAAGGCAATTTTAGTGCTCTCATTCACCCAGAGTTGCATATGTAACCTGTGTTTTAAAACAGTCTAAAGTTAGCTTGTAGCTATGAAAATAGGCACTATTAAAAATTAAATGAAAGTTATTGCACTACTAAAGTCTGAGGTCTTCACACACATCCTAAATTTGCACAAGAATTGTGATACAATTTAGGAACACATGCATTAGCAAACTAATGGACAAGTGTGTCTAAACAGAAAGAACTATACATACAATAAAACCAGTACTTGCCTTGAACTGGTATCTGACTTAGTCTTCTCCTGTTTGTTGAAGAGGTAGTGAAACACTTTGGTACGGGAGAATCTTGCAGAGGTTCAACTCTTTCTTGTAATTCTTGCTGTAAAGGGCACACCCAGAGATATTTACTATTAGTAAATCATAAACAAAATCTTCATAGAATACATAAAGAATATAAGCTTTGCATGGCTGTTGAACAGATTGATAGAATTCAGGAGCAGGTTTTTATATACAGGGATCCAACATATAGGTGTTTTATCACACTGAGTGCTCCATCCTGTCTATTTAAGGCCTGGTCTATACTAAGAAATTAGGTTGGTATATCCCTAAGCGATGCAGTTAAACCTACCTTACCCCGGAAGAGACAGCACTAGGTTGATGGGAGAATTATCCTGTCAACCTAGCTACCGCCTCTCTGAGAGGTGGAGTACCTATACCAATGGGAGAATCCTCCCACTGACATAAGTATTATCTTCACTGAAGTGCTACAGCAGTGCAGCTGCAGTGGTTTATGTGTAGACAAGCCCTTAGATTAGTCAAAATGGGCGCTGGAAAGCAGATAATGGCTATAAATGCCTTAGTACAGGGGTGGGCAGATTTTTGACTCGAGGGTCACATCTGGGAATAGAAATTGTATGGCGGGCCATGAATGCTCACAAAATTGAGGTTAGGGTGCAGGCTTGGGGTGGGGCCAGAAATGAGGAGTTCAGGGCGCAGGAGGGGGCTCCGGGCTGTGGAGTGGGGTGCAGGGGGAAGGCTCTGGCTTGGGGTGTGGGCTCTGGGGTAGGGATGAGGAGATTGGCGTGTAGGAGGGTGCTCCGGGTTGGGACTGAGGGGTTTGGAGAGCAGGAGGTGGATCAGGGCTGGGGCAAGGGGAGAGGCTCAGGGGTGCAGACTTCAGGCGGTGCGTACCTCAAGCAGCTCCCAGAAGCAGAGGCATGTCCCTTCTTCAGCTCCTAAGTGGCGGTGCAACCAGGTGGCTCTACATGTTGCCCCGTCTGCAGGCACCACCCCTCCAGCTCCCCTTGGCTGCAGTTCCCAGCCAAAGGGAGCTGCAGGTGCGGCGGTTGGGGTGGGAGCAGTGTGCAGAGTGGAAGCCCCTACACATAGGAGCCAAAGGGGAGGCCATGCTGCTGCTTCTGGGAGCCTGGTGGCGCAGCCCTGACCCTGTTTCCTGGCTGGAGCGCCGAAGGGGAGCCATGCTGCTGCTTCCAAGAGCCGCATGGGGTGGCTCCCGACCCTGCTCCTCTTCTGGAGTGCTGGAGCAGGGCCATGCTGTTGCTTCCAGGAACCACATGGAGCAGCCCCCGACCTTGCTCCCCTTCTGGAGTGCCGGAGCAGGGTAAGCCCCAGACCCTGCTCCCCAGTGGGAGCTTGAGGACCGGATTAAAATGGCTGGCGGGCCAGATGCAGCCCACGAGCCGTAATTTGCCCACCCCAGCCTTAGTAGTATGTTTATTCCTGGGAAACGTCACTTTTTCCTAGTGAATTATTCTCTCTTTAGGAGGCTTACCACTCTTAATTTTTGTTTTTAAAAGAATACAGGGCTTCTATCTAAAGACAATCTGGAAAGTTACCATGAGCTTTGCGAACAGTTTCAGAGGCATTTGTAAAAATAACATACACTTTCTAAACAACAACTATAGGCCCCATCCTGCAACTGGATTCATGAAGGCAGATACTTACACCCTGCTGATTTCAACGGGGCACTGTGCAGATGTAAGGATTTACCCACAAAAAGCCCCATTTAAGTAATTATATCTCCGCCTGGGCACAAAGATATGCCTGCGCAAGCTGAATGCAGGATCAGAATCTAAACATGCAACAAACTCCTGAAAAACCGTGGTGTGGCCTTCAAACACAATCTAAAATACCGTATATACTCGTTCATTAGCCTGTTCATTTATAAGCTGACCCCCCACAAGATGGTTAGGTAAAAATAGCAAAAACTGTATGACCCTTTCATAAGCCGACCCTATATTTCAGGGGCTGGCAAACTTTCGATCCTGGCCCATCAGGGTAAGCCGCTGGCAGGCTGGACGTTTTGTTTACTTGGAGCGTCTGCAGGCATGGAGCCCCTCAGCTCCCATTGGCTGGGAATGGCAAACCGCGGCCACAGGGAGCTGACGGGCTCCATGCCTGCAGACGCTCCAGGTAAACAAAACGACAATGTATTAGATATTCAATTCAATGATTCCATAGAGTTTAAAGTCATCAAGTTTTGGTGTAGACCCGTTTATAAGCCGACCCCTGCTCTCTGATGCATCACTTTTTTACCAACAATATTTGGCTTATGAACGAGTATATACAGTATTTTATTAAAAAGTCTCTTCCTATTCCTACCTATAAGACTATGAGAGAGAGTGACAAATCCTAACAGTCACTTTACAGTTACTAGCCCGTTAAGCCGTATAGTTTGTACTAAAAGGGTAAATATTGTAACCAAGTATTACACTTGACAAAGCCCTGGCTGGGATGATTTAGCTGGGAATTGGTCCTACTTTAAGCAGGGGGTTGGACTAGATGACCTCTTGAGGTCCCTTCCAACCCTGATATTCTATGATTCTATGATTCTTAAATTACAATAGACTGTGGGACGTTTACAACTCTATTTCAGTCCTACAAACCTTCAGAACTTTAAATTCAAATATGCCAGTTTTCTACTGAAACCAACTTGCTTTTGGATTAAAACTTTTGATAAGCACACGTTAATAGTAAGGAATGGAAAGTTAAACTTGGTCAAGATCCAAGTCTTGCTTTTATAAAAGGAATACTATCAACCTGACTGCTTTCCAAAAGTAACTAATTTTTAAAAAACAATCTAGTTCCTAACATAGAAAATATGCTGAGATTTTTTTAATCTTATTTTGATTTTTACTTTTTAAAAAGGTTTTTTCTGCTTCCATATTTATGTTTAAGTATATTTTCAACAAGGGTTTAAAAAAGACTACAAAAGAAAAGTGAAACTATACAATGTGCTGTCAAATGTACAAACACTGTTGCTAACTTTTCATTAATAACTTTTAAGTGTGTCATTTATTACTCTAGTAGTACAATATTTTTGGACACAGTTTTCAAGTTGCTAATGTCCCTTTAAATTTGTGAGAGAGCACAGTATGATTTTAATATTCAAATACCACTATGCCTTTTCCTCAGCCCCTCTTCAAGTCTAACCTGATTTTAGTGTTCAGAATCTTGAGCTTGGTAAACAGTGTATCTCATCTGAGATCATGTAATCCCACCTTTAAAATGGTATATAGCACAGATCATTTAGTCTAGGAGTTTGAAAGAATATAAACTGCTCTAGAAATACTGGATGTTAGAGCTGGGGTAAGAAAAATAATCAGAATAACCTTATTTTTAAGTATGGGTGCTACAGATTTTAGTGATATTCAACAATACTGAGCACAGTAACGCCTCACTTAAAGTCGTTCCGGTTAACATTGTTTTGTTGTTAAGTTGCTAATCAATTAGGGAACACGCTCGTTTAAAGTTGTGAAATGCTCCCTTCTAACTTCCGTTTAGCAGCCGCCTGCTTTGTCCACTGCTTGCAGGAAAAGCAGCCCGTTGCAGCTAGCTGGTGGGGGCTTCGAACAAGGGTGGACCGGCAGCCCCCTAAGTTCCCTGTGCAGCAGCTGCCCAGCAGGCTACCAGCTGTCCCTCTCCCCACTGCCATGTGTTGCTCCTGCCCTCTGCCTTGGAGCTACTCTGCGAGACTCCTGCTTGCTGTGCGGGGGGAGGGGAGGAAGAGGGGGGCTAATGTCAGGGTGTCCCCATCCCCCTCACCCCGCTTACCCCATCTTCCATATAGAGCAGGGGGGACAAATGACAGGGCTCAGGACAGAGGGAGCTTGCTGGCGGCAGTAGCTGTGGTCTCAGCAAGCTGATCTAATTAACAAGGCAGTGTACTTAAAGGGGAAATGCGCACCTCTCACACACACACACTCACAGTGTGTGTCTCTGTCTGCAATGCTCTCTCCCCTCCCTCCATTCCTGCTGCCTTGTAGACTGTGAGAGTTAACCCTTGAGGGCTCAGCCAATTGCTAGTTTGTCATTTAGCAGTAAGGCATTCCCTGGGAAATATCCCACCCTCTGACTCCTCCACCTCAACCAAGCTTCACAATCATCATCACTGTGTAGCAGTATTAAACTGTTTGTTTAAAACTTATACTGTGTGTGTATTATATGTCTTTTGTCTGGTGAAAAAAAAAATTCCCTGGAACCTACCCCCTCATTTACATTAATTCTTATGGGAAAATTGGATTTGCTTAACATCGTTTCGCTTAAATTCGCATTTTTCAGGAACATAACTACAACGTTAAGTGAGGAGTTACTGTATTAATAGTAAAACATCTCACAAATCCAGAAGATGTGTACTGCAAAAAAATCAGCAGAGAAGCACTTCCACCAGGGATTGGATGGTACAAGTACTAAAACAAAATCACCAGCACTACCAAGAGATTGAAATCAGACTCAGTCTTTCAAGATCTTGATAACCAGGCTGGATCGATTTAAATCACAGAGGTTCAAATAAAAAAATTTTAAATTTAGTTGTGCATTCGTACTTTTTGGTCATTTTCTTGACGAAAAAGTTCATGCTCATTCTATGATAACCATTAAAAGATGCATCCAATGAAGTGGGCTGTAGCCCACAAAAGCATATGCTCAAATAAATTGTCTCTAAGGTGCCACAAGTACTCCTGTTCTTTTTGCGGATACAGACTAACACGGCTGCTACTCTGAAACCTGGCATTAAAAGATATTGACTTGCAATTAAATATAGCTCTCTCTCTCTAAATTTGGCACTTCTTGCTAACCAGGAAGATACTCTACATCTATATACATTTTATTTAAACAATTATATAGCACAACATTCATTTATTCAGATTAATTTACAATTTTTAACATTAAAATGGTGAATAATGCATTTCCTTTGTAGATTTTTTTTTTTACTAGTGGTTTCTGTCAAGCTGCTTGTAGACTAGAAATTGGAATTCAGTTAAATGCAAGTAAACAGCATTTTAAAATTGTTTTATTAGTTAAATAAAACTACCTTATATGTGTTAAGCTTACTTGCTTACACATTTGCTTTTAAAACTGATTTACTAAACAAAGTTAATCAATTGATAGATTGAAAATCTGGTCCATAGTGACTAGAAACAAAGGTATTTTACATGGGATTTTCAAAAGTTCTTAAGCAGGTTAAGATGCTTAACAAATCAGTGGGAGTTAGAAGCTTCTGAAAATCCCACTAGGTGCCTATCTGCATATTTAGATAATCTGCCCCCATGTGCTTCAAGATTTTAGAATTAGTAGATCTCATCTTCTCCCACCAGGTTTTTATTTATAGACAAAGGAAAACAACTGACCTCTGGCACTGATCGAGTTGATTTGCAAAGACTAAGATTACTGGTAGGGTTTCAGTGTTACATTGTCAAACCTCATAGGTCACCGGAAAGAGAACTGTTTAACAGTGTTTTCAGACGTGCCCACATGTCTGCAGAACTACTGGATTCCTCCCCCTCCCCCAAGTTGCATGTTTATGACAGAGTTGAAACTGCAGGTAAATAATTTTAAGACCATTATTTGCACAAGACACAATAGCAGCTCTAAAGTAACTGAAAGAAGACATCCTACCTCATCCTCAACTAGAGGTGGTACCACCTCCTTGCCATTTTCTGTATTGCCAGAGATGATGTGGTTGTCATCAGGCTGCTGCATACATTGGCAAATGGAATCTTTTTTCCTAGTGTAAACCCATGCATTTGAGGCACGAGTCTTTACAGAAGTCTCCTCCCTCAAAAGTTTCTCCAGCACGTCAGCATCAATCTGTAACTTAAGTGTTTCACATTCTGAATGACTAGGTCCAACTACACCTGTTGAATGTCTCTCATTCAGTACTGTATCGTCCTTTAAAGCTTCTAGTAACAATTTCCCTTGTTGATTTGTGCAGAATGGGGTACGAGGAAGTTCTCTCCCTGTGGGAATAATATTGTCTTTAAGAGTTGTTATACTCCATTCTCCTAATTTGGAGATTTTTTTTGAAGAGTAATATTCTTCTCCCACGAAATCAGATGATTGAGATGGCAACAGTTGTAGGATCCCTGGAGCAGGAGTTCTTGGAGTTTGCAGACCAAGATACCGAATGTTCTGAGGAGCTGGACAAAGGCTATCACATTTGACTTCATTATTTTTATTGCCATTCCCTCTCTCAGTCATTTTAAGATTACTAATTTCACTGAGAATATTTTCAACTTCATCTTTATTCAGGGCAGTTTCTTTAAAACTTCCATCTAATTTCCTTGTCTCCATGTCTTCTCCCAGTTGTAAAAAGCGGCACACGTAGTCAAAGGAAAAGGTGAAGAAAAAAAAATCAACTTTCTTTAACCCCCATAACACAAAAGATTAACAACAAAGTACTGAAAAGACTTCTTTACAATATCCCAAGAAAGAAAAAATAACTTTTAAAAGTATAATTATTTTCATATAATTTGAGACAAAGCTCCATCTGAAGTACAGTTCTACTCAGTAAAGATACTGTAAAAATGCCATCTACTTATTCAACAGATCTGCTCTACTTGTGTATTCAGAATCAAATCTATTTACTTAACTGAATAAGTGTATTGCGTTGTTAACCCTGCAAAGCCAGTACAATAGTGGAAAAGCTGGATTGTCTTCTGGCTCACTGATCAACAGATTTATGGTACTAACTCTGATACTAAACTTAAAATTGCCAAAATTCTGATTCAAGAACATTTTGGCTCTGAGATAATCGGAAAGAACCCATCTTTGCTTTTAAATCCCCAATATAAATTTGCAAGACTTGTAGTTAGAAAAATCAAGGTGTTGCTTATAAAATGAGCATTTTATCTTGAGTCACTGAGAGTCATTAAACATGGAACCTAACTCATGATGCCATTTTTACGGTCAATTTTCAAAGTAGAATTGCACTTGGAAGATCCTGAGAAAATCTGAGCTGCAGACTTCCTGGATTGTCTGCCAGAGCAAGTAACATCGCAAAGAATTACAAAAGGCAACTGCCATGACCAATGCAACATTTTACTTCAGACATGTCAAAGGCTGTAATCAACACTTAGGACTTTGCAGGACAAGTTTGAATTCTGAGCTCCAGAGCACATCTTTGAGGGTTAAAATAAAAAAAATTAAAAACAAACATTTTGTGTCGTCCCCCCCATAAGGGGTAAAGGATCCAGTGTAAGTTTCTTACAGTATGGCCATTAACTAAAAAAATAATAAAACAAATAATAAACTCACTAGTGGAGACACCACAAGTCTGCAGGCCTTGTCTGTTTAGGACTAGTCCTGATGCAGCCATCACTGTAGCTGCTCCAGCACTGATCCTGAAATAATAGACAAGGGCAAGCCAGGGTTTGCACCAGCTGAGTTTGAAACAGGGTTAAATTGTATATTAGTTTGGTGCAAACTCCAGCTCATCCCTGGTCTTCTTTATAGGAAAGAAACTGTACTGGTTTAACAAAATTAATTTTAAATCAGTCCTGTTAAACCACTGCAAGCCCCCAGCAAAGGTGAACCTCAACCAGTTTAGCACTGGCTTAGGTCCGCTTTGAACTGATTTAGCTAAACCTGGGGCTTGTCTACACACAGAGCTGCACCGATTTAGCTAAAGGTGAGATTAAAGGAGGCAGCACAGCCTGGTGGCTAGAACACAGGACTGGGCCTCAGGAGACCTGGGGTCTGCTCCTGGCTCTGCTGGGCCTTGTCCCCTCCTCCCCCTAGTTCCCTCTACCCTTGCACTGGCATGTAGCGCACCGCCTAGCGCGGGTATAAAGAGCGATGAGGGCAGCAAGTCCGCTACGAGGCTCGCTACACACCCGAGCGGCGCCTCCCCTCTACTCTGCTGGTTGCAGCAGCAGCGGGGTGTTCCCCTGCCGCGTGGGGCGCCGCGCAGCGCCCGCCAGGCCACGGCAGCCCAGGCACCTCGTGCCTCAGGTTCTGTAAGGGGGGAATCGGGTCCCAACCTCCCGGCACTGCCAGGCCCGAGGTCCCACAGGGGCCGCCCCGCTTGCACCAGCGCCGCTCCTGCAGCCCGCCCCCGAACACCCGCTGACCCCACAGAGCCAGTTCCACCCCAGCGCGAGTCTACACGGAGGCGCCTAATCCGAATTCAGGTAACAAGGGGGAAACGGCTGCGTCACGAGGCCCGAGCAGCTTCGCGGCGGCCCAGCTACAGAGCCGGACCCGCGGCCCGGACGGGGACACCCCGCTGCCCCCGCCACTAGCCAACGCCCCCCATCTTACCTACTGCAGGCGGCCCGAGCCTTGTACCCGCTCCGCCGCAGCACCGGCCGCTCTTTCGAACCGCCGCTCCTCGGGTTCTCATTGGGCGGAACGACCAGCGCCAGCCGATTGGCCTGCTGCTCCCAGCCCCTTGACTGGCTACCTCTCCAGCCAATCAGAGGCGAGCAGCCATCCCAACCCACCGGGCTTGCTTGTTTGGGGGCCCGCGCGGCCCGATCCCAACGCTGTGAGCTCAGAAACGGCAGGGAGGGGAAAGCTACTGGGGCCCTTGTGCAAAGAGGGCTCCTTGTAACCCCCTCCCCGGTACCTGGGTCACACAAACCATCTTCTAGTCATTGCAGTCCAGCTCCGTGAGGAAGGGATGAGAGAATTCCCTGTCCTTTATGTTCAGTGACAGTCACTGTAACTGGAGCATCATTAACACTCACATACTGATAAACTGTAAGGGATGAAATGGAGTCAATTTGGATCTAATTTACAACAGCGTAAATCTGAAGCAAGTGAACTGAATTGCACCAATGTAAATGAGAGCCAAATCAGTGAGCCCAGGTTAATAATCTATAGTGTCAATACAATCTCTTCATTCCAATAAAAGATACACGATGCTAGCAAAATGCACAAACTATTTCAGTTCCACCTCATACAAGTGCCATACTTTATCAGCTCTGATGGATCAGTCCCACTCCATTTTCAAATCATAACCTCTGAAAAAACAGTAGTGACACCCTTTCTAGCACTGACTGCACAACGTTGAAGTGCTTATAAGGGCTAAACAGAGGGCACCTAAGTGTATGTCTACACTGCAATAAAACTTATTTCATTTTTTGTGTCATGTACTTATCCTTAAGAGGAATACAAAATTAGCTGAGTCAAATGTACATGGCAGAGTGGCATTGCTGGCATGTACATTGGCCAAACCGGACAGTCTCTACGCAAAAGAATTAATGGACACAAATCTGACATCAGGAATCGTAATACTCAAAAACCAGTGGGAGAACACTTTAACCTGTCTGGTCATTCAATGACAGACCAGCGGGTGGCTATTTTACAACAGAAAAGCTTCAAAACCAGACTCCAACGAGAAACTGCTGAACTCGAATTGATATGCAAATTAGACACAATCAATTTAGGTTTGAATAAAGACTGGGAATGGCTGAGCCATTACAAACATTGAATCTATCTTCCCATGTAAGTACTCCCACACTTCTTATCAACCTGTCTGTACTGGGCTATCTTGATTATCACTTCAAAAGTTTTTTTTCTCTTACTTAATTGGCCTCTCGGAGTTGGTAAGACAACTCCCACCTGTTCATGCTCTCTGTATGTGTGTGTACATATATATCTCCTCAATATATGTTCCAGTCTATGCATCCGAAGAAGTGGGATGTAGCCCACTAAAGCTTATGCTCAAATAAATTTCCACTCCTTAAAGCATTCAGATACTAAAGTGAGGAGTACAATATAAAGGACAAGATGACCAAACAAAAAGAAAGCACACATGACTTTCCTCAAATGTGCAGGAGGATGGCAAAGGATCCGGATGATGGGGAAAATGTAGGAAATACAAATCTAGTTTTATTGAGACACCATGTGACAAGTAGTACTCAGACTTTCCATTTGTACTTCCCCATGAAAGAGGGCACTTGCAGGAGCACAGTGCCTTCTAGGGCCAATTTGAGGTATTGTTTCAGTACTACATTCACCACCTATGTCCTATAAGTCGTTACCAGAAGTGAAGACTACAAGTAGGTCTGCCATGATAGTCTTATGTTCCCAGCCTACCCTATTCTCCTGTTCCTCTGAGAGAGACTAGCTAGAACTGCTAGGAGACAGCCTAATCTACCACTGAAAGAAGAGGGGAGATACAGCTCATCTCTCCATGAAATTCCTCCCTCAGGCCCTAAACACTCATGTATGCAGAACGGGCTTCTTCATCAACCACAGATGACTACTTCAAGACCACTTTCTTCCCCTCAGTGACAGTGTCCCTTTACACACTGGGATTCTTAACAGGCAAACCTGGAACAAACCTAAGCAAAATTGGCTTAGGGGAGTTCCCCTCATAAGCCTCAAAATGCCTGTACAGCCAGTTACTCCTCTGAATAGCCCTCCCTATCTACACAAACAAAAACATAAAAACCATAATTGGGTGAAAATTTGCCATTTTGTTATAAACAGTATTTCAACCATCAAACCTCTGAATAAAAATCTAACAATCAAATTTTCAGCATCAGTTAGACTTTTACAGCTTTCAGACTGAAAACAATTAAAAGCTACTGTGAAAAATCAGTCTTGCATTGAAACCATCTGTCAAACTGAACTATCCAAAGACACTTGTTCTATTGCTGACTCCTCCATGTAAGAAGAAACTGCTTTGTTAACTCTATTATTATAATCAGTGCATCAAGTGTTTGGGATTAGATTAAAAATTCATGGCAGTTCTCAAGTAACAGCAATGTGAATCCCTGGTAATATCCTGGCGCTAGTGACTGTGTATTGTGAAAGCATCATAGGGAGAATGGCATGTCGACAAGAAACAGAGTCAAGAAGGAAAGGAACTATCAATATCTAACATTATAATTACCCAGATTGTTAGGGTGACTAACATTTGTAGAATACCTTTCATACCCAACACCCTTTACAGACTGAACCACTTTACTCACCAAAAAACAACAGAGGGTCCTGTGGCACCTTTGAGACTAACAGAAGTATTGGGAGCATAAGCTTTCGTGGGTAAGAACCTCACTTCTTCAAATGCAAGAAGAAGATGCATCTGAAGAAGTGAGGTTC